GACACCCCAGAAATGGCTAAGCCATCGCAGATGCAGCCATGGGTGGCTAGCCCAGAAACCGCAGAAGCGACCTCCTTTCCGCAGAAGCAGAACCGCACAAGCGATTGGCTTCTCACAGATGCGGCCCAGCCGGCCGAGTGGAGTTTTGCAAAAGTTGCCTCTTTCGCAGGTGAGGTGGACGCAGGTGTGGTCCAGGACCGCAGATGCGGATATCACTGAAGGTAGTGACCTTCATTTATTTCGGGAGTTAGACGTTTTGGCTCATTTTTCACTCCATTGTAGATGATTTTTGAGCTTCTTGAGAGGGGTTCTTCACTAAGCTTTTGAAGGTAAGAAATTCCTACCATATGTGAGTTAAATACTTGGATTTTGGGTAGATTACCATGTGCAGATTAGTGAAAAATTATGGGATTAGACTAAAATCTTGGGTTTTGGTAAAAACAAGATTTAACCACGAAATTCGTTATGGAATGAAGTAAAAATCATATATTTTTGATCCTTAGGTTATAGATAATAACACCTTCAAAAATTTCCTAAATCCGGGCACGTGGGCACGGGGTGAATTTTAAGAACATTGCCTTTGGGGTTGGATAATTACATTAATAGCTAGAATATGAATTTTTAAGCCTATAATGATTGGTTTTTACACTATTTGCATAGTTTCAGATTGTGCGGCTCCGGTTTGAGAGTTTGAACGCGTTCTTGAGTTGGAAGTAAGTTCGAAACAAGGTAAATCTCTTTTCTAACCTTGTAAGGGGGAAATTTCCCTATTAGTGAACTTAATTAATATATTATTAATTGTGGGGGGCTACATACGCACGAAGTGACGAGAGTCCGTACGTAGCTACTATTTCTGTTATGTCCGGATAGTTCTAGGGTTACATCATGCCTTGTGGACAATATTATTTGCTTATATGTGCTAATGGTATGAAAGAATTTAAGTTGAAGGAAATCTAAGGATTTATAGGCTTCAAGTGAATTGTATCCATTTGATTAAAAAAAGAATTAAAAAAGTGTTGTGTCTTAAATGATGAAAATTATGTTTGACCGCGTCGCACGTATGATTCGCGAGTGGGGTTATGCTTTTTACCACGTCGCATGTATGATTCACCAATGGGGTGAATAGATGCATTTATGGTTTGTGTTGTTCGACCCTCGGTGGTGCACATTTTACTTTTATGTTGGATCGGGCCGAACGTCCTCAGTGGTAGTTGTGTATGATAATGGAACCGGAACTCTTATAATTTGTATAATTTATTGCTTGAAGGTAACTTATTTTAAATGAGGAAAGTGCCTAGTTTTATTAATTGGATGAAAGGAGATTCAGTATTTATTCTTATTTGAGCTTGTTGTCATCTACGTACATTGTGAATTAAATATATTGAACTTCATATTATTATATTTGCTGGCCCTAGTAAGTGTTGAAGTCGACTCCTCATCACTACTTCTGCGAGGTTATGCGAGATACTTACTAGGTACATATTTCTATGTACTCATGCTACATTTCTGTACTTGATTGTACAGGCTTTGAGGCAGGTGCATCTGGCCATCAGTTCGGCGCATAGAGCGGACTCCTCATCTTGAGACTTTTCGGTGAGCTGCCCTTTTGAGCCATTCTGCAGCAGCTGGATTCTTTCTTTTATCTTTATGATCCCGATCTATTCCTTTTCCAGAAAGTAGGGTAGTATGGTAATGTATATTCTAGTAGATTTCCCACACACTTATGACACCGGGTCTTGGCACACACATTAGTAGAATTATGTTGTTTTGTCTTGTCTTCGTGATGGAGATTCGAATTTATTTCTTTCATTTAAATATTCTTAAGTTTTTAAACTATAAATTTCCTAAATCTATAATGGAAGTTATCACGTACTAACTACACAAATGAGAATTTACTATTTGATTAGTGTTGGCTTGCCTAACAACGGTGTTGGATGCCATCACGGCCTAATATGGAATTTGGGTCGTGACATAGAGGGCCCAGAATAACATGATTTCAACTCTCATATTACAATACTGAGATAAAAGCTCTACAACTATAACTCATAAACTCTGTTGCAATGGGAAACAAGATCCTAGCACTTACCACAATAACTGTTGTGGCATGCAACTCGATCCCAATATCATATCATTATCTGTTGCGGCCTGCAACCCGATTCCAATATAATTTCCTTTCAATACCATTGTGTCACGTGTCTCGTTCCCAACATCAACTCATTAATCATAAACGACTCAACACCACTATATACGAAATCTCAACACAAAAGGGAAATGAAACGAGCGGAACATTAAGGAACTACCAGTACAAACGGGGGAATAACTGATACCTTGTAATCCAAAACTTTGGCAATAAATTAATACAGGAATAGCTAAATATCTCCCATAAATGGAATAACACAATAAAGTGTATCAAGTAATATAAGGACAATACAAGCAAGTAAAATATGAGAGAATGAAGGTATACAACTAGTGCAAATAGGAACATGTAGCAGGTAAGCAGATATTGAGCGAGAATTTAACAAATCGAAACAAGTAACAATTAAATAACAAATAACAAGTAAAATATGGCTAATGAGTAAAAACATGTAGCAACTAAAGCATGTAACAAGAGATAACATGGAATAAATGAAGACATGAAAGTAAATAGCCCAACCAGCATGCTTTAACCCCATAACAAGACATATATACTTGTCACCTCGCATATACGTTGTTACCACATATAATTCATGTAACAAATAGACCAATAAGTCCTAATACCCTCAAATCAAAGTTACATACGATACTTACCTCTTTGCGCCACCAACTCAACAATCAACCATGGCTTTTCCTTTCGAACAAAACTCCATACCAACCAAATCTAGCCAAATATCGTTCAAACCATTCAAAATAAACTTTATAAACTACCCACAAATGAAAAAGGTTCAATCTTTGATGAAATTGAAAAAAGTCAACAAAAGTCAACTACATGCTTGCTTGGGCAAAATTCCAGATCCGGATCAAAATTCGATTACCCATTCACCCCCGAGTCCGGTTATATAATTTATTTCAAAATCCGACCTCAATTTGAGATCTAAATATCAACTTTGCAAAATCCTAAATTCTACAAAAATTCCTAATTTTTACCATGAAAATCCTAGATTTGATGTTAAACTCCCATGAAAAGTAACGTGAAATTGAAAGAAAGTGGATTAGAGCTGCTTACCAATGATTTTAGGAAGAAAAGCTCTTAAGAAAGTTGTCTCTAAAGTGTTTAGGCTTGAGAAATGGTGTAAAACGAGATAAGTTCTGATTTTTACCTCTTTTAGCCCAGCTGCAGGTATCGCAATCACGAATTCTTGTTCGCAATTGCGACAATCGCAAATGTGAAACACAGGTCACAAATGCAAACTGTGCCCGTAGCCTGCATAAGTCACAAATGCGAAAAAAATATCGCATTTCCGATTCCCTTTTCTACCACAAATGTGATCAAAGGTTTGAATTTTCGAACTTGCCTAAGTCTAGTGCTCAGTCGCAAATGCGACCAAGCCATCGCAAAAGCGAAGCCTGGGATGTCCACAAATGCGAACATTTCTTCGCAAACGTGAAGGCTACCTTTCCTAGCCCTTCATCGCAAATGCAAGCTCGACTTCGCAAAAGCGGAGTTTGGATTTGCGAACTGGTCATTGCAAATGTGTGACCTGCAGTTCAGCACTAGAACTTAAGCACACTAGCATTTGCCAAATTATCCAAACTCATTCAGAACTCACTCCAAACTCACCCGAGTTTCTCGGGATCCAAACCAAACATGCACACAAGTGTAATAACATCCTACGAATTTGTTTGTTACCACAAATCTTAAAAATAACATCAAATAAAATCGATCATTAAAACTTATGATTTTAAACTTGAAGACTCATTTTCACAATTTTTCACATAACGCGCCGAAATGCGCTCAGGTCATTTCGAACCCCAACCAAAATTGCGTACAAGTTCAAAAATATCATACGACCTACCGGAATCGTCAAAACACCGATTTGAAGTTATTTACCAAAAATGTTGATCGTGGTCTACTTAAGTCTCATTTTAAGCCTAAAATCACTTTTTCTTCAAATTTTTACGTAAAAACTTTTCGGAAAATGACACGGACCACACACGCTAATCAAAAAATATCAAATGAAGCTAATAGAGATCTCAAAATATAAAAATAAAGGTAGTACGCAAAACGATCTAATGGGTTGTCACAGAAACCATTGCATGCAACTAGTAAACTTAATTCATAAGTTGACTTTAAGTCTCGATTTGAGTAGTTATACTAATTCATGTTTTGAGATCTTTGATAACAGGATATTTCGAATTAAGTCCATAATATGAAGTCTAATTAATTAAAATATGTGGTCATTGTTGTGCCTGAATAATTAAGAATTAAATGTAATATTGTTTCTTGGTGAAAAAGAAAGTCGTAATAGTGTAGAAATGGGTTTTAAACCCTAAACCTTGTGGCTATAAAAAGGGTCTTATTCCATAAGGAGGGTAGAGATTTTACTACACATTTTTCCTAGGAGAAATTTGCCCGCGTGAATTTCACAAATTTCGGGTATTATTCGTGTAATACAGTAGAAGATTATGGAACTGGAGGATGATTTTGTGGACGCTTTTTTTGTGCTTGGAGGCTTTTTTTCCAATTGTTGTCACGCTTTAATATATAAGTATCGATTTTGCGTTTGATAAATTTATATTCTATGTGTTGTCTCTATCTTATGCAGGTGATCCTAGCTATTTAATTTACTTTCGTTGTTCATACCTATTTTGCATCATAAAATAGCATGCAACACCTAAGCTAGATATATCTTATTTGACATATTCAATAAATTGACATTAAAATATAATAAATTATGGTAGAATCATCTTAGCATCCCAACTTTGAAAACGCACTAATAACTTCACTTTTACATGTTACAATTCAAACTAACGGTTATAGTTGCAAAGTATAATAAACTAAAGAGAAAGCACCATATTTTATTTTAAAATTACTGTCAGCTACAATAAAATATTACTGGACTTGCTGAAAAAGTACCTTGGATATGTGAAAGTTGATTATTTCCTCACTAACGTGTGCAGTGTAATAGAAAGTCTTAACAACTGTAAAAAAGATTTGCTTAATATCTTGGTTGATGTTGTTTGAGATGTTGCCAAATACTAACTTTACAAGAGCTTGCATGTCGAATTCAATATTGGTGGTCTTTGAGCTTCCAGTCACCTAGCATTTTTTTAGATTTAAATAGAGGAATTAGAATAGAAATAAAAAAGAATTGTTCAATTTCACAGATTTAATGTGCCAAAATCATAAAATTATTTAAATGAAAAAATAACTAAATCGTTCTTATGTATCACAAAAACTAAAAAAATACAAGAAAATACTAAATCTGGTTCCATAAAAAATAAGTAGGCTGCCACTTCAGCACACCTTTTAATATCAATATCGCCCCGTCTAATATTTATAAAAATCATTTTGAAATCCAACCAAAAACCCGTTGTCTTCCACCATGAGACACATCACGACTTTTTAAATGGGTTAGAAAATGTTTTATTTTCTGTTTTTTAAAGCGTTGTATTTTATAGATATTATGTAAGGTGAGTTTCTTATGTTTACGGGATTGAATTTAACATAATTTTTCTGACATTTTTATTTTTATTTTTAGTGATACATTGAAAGGTTATGATTGGTATGAAGGAAAATGTACTCCACCAAAAAAATCCTAAAATAAATTTCTCGAAAAATAAGTGGTTTTCTTATTTATTTTCTGATGTTTGGTAACTAAACAAAAAAAATTGTTCACATGTATTTGCGTATAATCTAGGCAAACACTATAGACCTAAAGCGAGGTGGTGGGGTGGCGTGGAGGGGATATGGCATCCCAAGCGTAGGGGGAAGGGTCGAGGGTGGAGGCGGGGGGTTGTAACATTTCAGCCCGCTAGTGATATTGTCCGTTCTGGGTCTAAGCCCTTATGACTTTAAAATGCGTCACTAGGGTCTAAGGCTTGTTAACTTATATACTCAGCATCTCTCTTGTGTTTTGCCAATGTGAGACTCTGTCTAAAGTCTGGGGTGTTGCATACACCCCCTCTTATGGATTCAGCGTCCGCTAGTGATATTGTCCCCTCTGGGCCTAGTCCCTCACGGGTTTAAAACGCATCACTAGGGTCTAAGGCTTGTTAACTTATAAACCCAGCATCTCTCTTGTGTTTTACCGATGTGGAACTCCATCTAAAGTCTGGATTGTTGCAGGGATGGGTCCGGAGAGGGTTGTAGTGTTGGGGGTGNACCAGGGAAATCATTTTCTTTATTTTTAAGAAACTTGTTTTCCTAGGTAAAATACTTTTCAAAACATTATGAAACAAAACATATCATACCAAATACACACATGATTTTTTTTAAATTATAAAAATGATTTTATGACTTAATAGAACAAACTGAAAAATAATTGATTGTTAGGGTAATTACTTCGAAAGAAAATTAAGAGATGACTATGATGGTTTCTAACCTTTTCATTTTGGATCTCATTAAGCATGTGACAAACTTTATTGGTAAGATTGGACAGATTCTTGTAGTCCGCATCGAATAGTATATCATCATGTGTCATATGGCCGCCAGAAAGGTTAATTGTGCGCACTAACAACTCTGCTTCTTCTTGGCATGTATCCTTTTCTTCCCTCAAAGACATCAACCACGTTTCCCACTACACTCAAAAGAAAACAAGCAAGCAAAAATAATATGAAGAATTTGAAGAGTAGCATCATTAGTCAGTCTTAAGGTTGTAGTTCTATTTGCATAGGTGGATCTAAAATTTAGAGTTTATGAGTTCAGAACGAATATATGGTCTTATTTTGTATACATAGATTCTTTAATTTCTTGCCCATGTATACATAACTCAAGCTGAAAATAATCGATTCAATTGAATACATAACTCAATCCAAATTTATTTTTGTCTGTTTGACTTATTTTGATAATTCAAAAGATATAGTGAATGATGAATCTAATTACTAGCTAGCAATATTGTTGCTAGGGGTGTACGCACCTTGCGTGACACCGCTTCATCAAAGTTTTTACTTAATATATATGGTAGATAATAAGAAAAATAAAAATATTAGGTAAAATTATAAAAATTACACCACTTATTGTTATAATAATTTATTCATTCGTTTACTTTTTCAAATGGTGACATCGCTTACAAAATTTTCTGTACATGCCACTGATTGTTAGAATAAGAAGGAATCCTTGTATACTCACTGCTTTTTGTAGTTGGTGATGGATGTCTTTGCCTTGGTCTTCAAAAGTCTCTTCCGAGAGTTGGTGCAAAAACTGATGAAGATTGTTGAGAACTATGATCTCTTTTGTTTCATTACTGCAACAGAGGGGGCAAAAAAAGCGAAATAACTTCTGTAAATATAAAAACCGAAGTACCAATTAAATATTTGTTGTGAGAAATGAGAATGTGTGCAACTTGCCATGTATATTTTATAAATTTGTTTCCAACTAATTGTTGCGAGAGATATAGGAATATCTTCATACATAAGCTAATCATTTTATATATACTTACCCATTATTTCTGCTCGGATAATCCTTGAATTCCATCAACAATGAATTCCCAGTGGTCCAAGTTGTGGCTTTTTCATTGTAGTAAGATGTAGTCATCTTACATATTATACGAGATTTAGCCCATGCAAGTCGTTCTCTTGACTTCTCGACTTCAAATATACTTGCAGCAGCTAAGAAATAAGAAACTAAGAGGTACTTTTTGCTTATTCCAAATTGTTGGAAGTTGCACTTTTCAAACCACCTATTCATGTTATGAACGCAAATTAATAAAGAAGATAAAAAAGCTAAATATTTTGATTGTTTATAAAGTTTAGTACAACTATATAAGAAAGTTTCAAGCGCATACTGTTGCATAATCAGCCATTCAAATCGATGTTGACTTTGGCATCTATTGTAATCCAATTTTGCAGCTTGTAAATAAACATTGTTGCTGATATCGGGCATTCTGCATGGGCAAAAGATTAACAAATTTCCAATTAGGCAACCACATACTTTGGGCGTTTTCGACTTTATTATGTGTAACTTAGGATTGCTCCTAAAACCTTAATGCTAGCCGTTTGTGTTAGAGGTTTGCCATAATTTCTCATCATATTTGATTTTTCTATTTGTTGAAGTAAAGGGCAACATGTTTACCTTAATTGGATTTTTCTTCATGTAGAAGAAAATTACAAATCTCTCATATTTAGCTAGTATCTTTTCTTGTAGGAAAAGCTTTGGAGTTCTCTTAATTGAAGATTCATCCTTCTCATTCAGTAGCATCCACAATGTAGCCATATGGGATTTGAGAGTCGTGTAGTGTTAGTGTATCACTTGTGTTTGTCTCTTCGTGAGGTTGTTCTCTCGATATTTTATACTCTCTTTTATATAGTGGATTGCTTATCTCCATTTGTGGACTTAGGTCAGTTGACCAAATCACGTGAAATGTTTGTGTCTCTTTTGGTATATTTCTCTTTTGTTGTTGGATTTATCGTCGTTGAAGGTTTGCTTTGCTAGCTTCCGCATGACACCTGATTTTTCAATCCTAACAGTTTGTGTGTGGCAGGGGCAGATCTTTCTGTTGCGGAAGCCAAATGTATATAGTGTGAATAAGTCACAACTACTATACCAAAAATTATGATAGCCACCAAATAATAAATAAGACAATAAAGCAACAATAAAAGGAACACCAGAATTTACAAGGTTCGGCTAATTTTGCCTACTCCTCGGACACAACCAATATTTTATTCCACTCCCAAAATACAAGTGAAATAATACTAAAGAGAGAAGATACAAATGCCTTAAGAAGATAAGAAGGCAAATGAGAGGTGTGTTTAAATCCTAAACATTAGGCCTCCTTTTATAGGGTGAAGTACCAACCAAAATTGGTACTTCACCGATGTGGAATTTCTGCCATTCAACAAATCTCCACCTTGGCAAAATTTCATATCTTCAATTTTCTCTCAATAACAAAATTTTAGTTGTGTCTTCATCTTCAATCTTCAGTGTTCAACAATGTTGATCAAATCCAACCAATGTTGAAACTTGACCGCAGTTACCACTTTTGTTAGCATATCAGCAGGATTCTCTGTAGTATGAATTTTCTTCACTGTGACTCCACCTTCTTCTATGANTCATTGTTTAGAAGATTGTTTCAATCCGTACAACGATTTTTCAAGTTTGCACACCATATTTTCGTTTCCAGCAACTTTGAATCCTTCTGGCTGAGTCATGTAGATTTCCTCCTCCAAGTTTCCATGTAAAAAGCAGTTTTTACATCCATCTGAACTAGTTCCAAATCTAATTGTGCTACCAAAGCCAACATAATTCTAATGGAGGAATGTTTTACAACTAGAGAAAATACTTTATTGTAATCAGTTCCCTCCTTTTGAGCATATCCTTTGGCCACCAATCTTGCTTTGTAGCGAATATCTACTTGGTTAGGAAATCTTTCCTTCTTTGCAAATACTCATTTGCACCTAATTGCTTTCTTTCCCTTTGGGAGATTGGCCAATCTCCATGTATGATTCTGATGAAGGGACTGTATTTCATCATTCATGGCAATCCTCCACTTATCTTCTTCTAAACTTTGGACTGCATCTTTATAAGTGGTAGGAACATCATCAGCTACAATTGAGGTTGCACAAGCAACCATCTCTATGATACGAACAGGTTTCGTTATTGTCCTTTTTGGCCTACTAGTTGCTATTGATTCAAGTTGTTGTTGAGGTTCCTGAGTTGGAATCTCCTCTACTGGCTCTCCTTCCAGAGGATAATCTTCATTTGTCTCCTCCTCTGCTTCTTGTGTAGGAAAAAAAAATTTCCCTCAAACTCCACCTGCTTAGAAGCACCTTCATTTTGTTTGGTATCTTTTGTTACCTTATNGTCCGCTGTGTGGATGACTCCATATTTTCCTTCTTGAAATTCCACGAACCAGTCCCTATTGGGACACATATGATAGCTACAAGCCGAGTCCATCAACCATACGTCTGATGATATTGATGGCTCTGTTGTAACTAATGAGAAGTCTGAATCATCACAATCAGCTACATTTGAATCCATAATGGCCTTTCCATTGTTATGTTTGGCCTTATTCTTCAACTTCGGACAGTCTTTCTTCCAGTGCCCTTTTTCTCGACAAAAGGCACATTCATCTTTGCTGGGTCTGGATCTTGACTTGGATCTTCCCTTCTTTGTTCTCGTTTAATTTTGAGGACGACCCCTTACAAATAGTATTTCTCCTTCTCCGCCCTTCTGTTTTTCTCGCTTTCTTTGTTCATAGATGTACAAAGCCGAACAAACTTCTCTGAGAGAAATTTCGTCATTTCCATGGAGTAGAGTAGTTTCAAGGTGCTCGTACTCATCAGGAAGTGACGCCAACAACATTAAGGCCAAGTCACCATCATCATAAGTTGTATCCATATTTTGCAAATCTGTGACCAACTTATTGAAACTGGTGATATGTTCATTCATCGTGGTACCAGGAACATAGGTGAAGTGAAACAGTCTCTTCTTCATGTACAATTTATTTTGACTGTTTTTCTTCAAAAATTTATCCTCCAGTGCTTTCCATAATTTACTTGCAGAAGTTTCCTTTGTGTATGGATATTTCTGCTCTCTAGCAAGGTAGGATCGAATGGTACCGCAAGCAACACGGTTGATAATTCTCCAATCTTCTTCTCCAATAACATCTGGTTTCTTGTCTTCAATGACAAGATCTAGCCCGTGTTGAAAAAGGACATCTAGAACCTCGCCTTGCCACATCCCAAAATATCCTGATCCGTCAAAAATTTCTACCGCAAATTTCGCATTTGACACAATTCTTGTCATAAGCGAAGATGCCAATGATGACGTATTGTTGACACTTGATGTAGATTCTTCTTGTTTATTGTCTCTCATATTTGACACAAATATTATTTAATAGTTGACGACAAAAATCAAGATTATTTCCTTTCTAGTGTGGAAGATCAGACTAAGCTGCAACCACAGAGCATACTCAGACAGAACCTTGACTCAGTTATCAAGATAACTCTTTTCTGATGTGGAAGATCAGACTATGCTGCAACCACAGAGCATACTTAGAAAGTACCTTGGTTCTGATACCAATTTATGCGGAAGCCAAATGTATATAGTGTGAATAAGTCACAACTACTATACCAAAAATTATGACAGCCACCAAATAATAAATAAGACAATAAAGCAACAATAAAAGGAACACCAGAATTTACGAGGTTCGGCTATTTTGCCTACTCCTCGGACACAACCAATATTTTATTCCACTTCAAAAATACAAGTGAAATAATACTAAAGAGAGAAGATACAAATGCCTTAAGAAGATAAGAAAGCAAATGAGAGGTGTGTTTAAATCCTAAACATTAGGCCTCCTTTTATAGGGTGAAGTACCAACCAAAATTGGTACTTCAATGATGTGGGATTTCTGCCATTCAACACTTTCGATGTAAATATAAATTTTGCATAGAAATCTACTAAAATTGCGACAAATAGTAACATGATCCCATAATTTTAAATATATATATATATATATTGGCACTGAAGCCAATTAGATAAATATTGGCCCTCAAGGCGTCATTAAATAAATTTGAGTGTGTTATGTCTAATCACATGAATTTTTTATGGTATGATCACACAGTTAAACTATAACGACCCGACCGGTCATTTTGCTTTTGCACTTCGCTCGCCAGTTCTCGGGCATAAATATCCCCGTGTGATGTATTATGACTTATGTAAATCGTTGGTTTTGGTTTTCAGGGTAATCAGAAGGAATTTGGAAGAACAATTCTTAGTATGAAGCTTGAAATTTGAAAGGTTTGATCAAGTTTTGACTTGTTTGTCTATGATCTTGGATTGGAAATTTTATGATTTGGTTAGCTCCGTTAGGTGATTTGGGACTTAGGAGCATGATCGGAATGCATTTTGGAGGTCCGTGGAAGGTTTAGGCTTGAATTGGCGAAATTGAGATTTTGACTTTTCCGGTTGGTAAGTAAGATTTTGAAATAAGGGTCGGATTGGAATTTCAGAAGTTGCAGCAGTTCCGTTGTGTCATTTTAAATGTGTGTGCAAAATTTCAGGGCATTCGGACGTGGTTTGGTTGTGTTTTTTATCAAAAGCGTAATTTAGAAGATTTTGGAATTTTTAGGCTTGAATTCGATGCAAATTTGGTATTTTGATATTGTTTTGAGTGCTTCGAAGGTTAGAACAAGTTTGAATGATGTTATGAGATATGTTGGCATGTTTGGTTGAGGTCCTGAGGGCCTCAGGTGAGTTTCGGGTAGTCAATCGGGCCATTTCATGTTTTGAAAAGTTGCAAAAAAACTGTTGAAAGGTTGCAGGAAAATTGACCTTCGCGTTCACGAGTAGGTCCGCGTTCGCGAAGGGTTAGCGAGTGAGGTTGAGGAATTAGCCTTCGCGTTCGTGATGAAGGCTCCGCGTTCGCAAAGGGCTGGGGTGTTGTGTATCGCGTTCGCGAGGTTCATGCCGCGTTCGCATAGAAGGAAAGTGAGCAGCAGGGTCCAGGGTGTTTGTTCTTCGCGTTCGAGGATGTGGTGTCGCGTTCGTAGTGAGTGATAAAGTCAATCTTTCGCGTTCGCTTAGTGATAGTCGCGATCGCGATGAAGGAAGCATTGGTAAACTTGAGTTTGTGCTTCGCGAACGCGAGGCTTTGACCGCGTTCGCGAAAAAGGTTTTTGATGCCTGGACATAATGTTTAAAAAACCATTGTCCACGATTTTAGGGCTAACTTTCACCATTTTTGGGTAATTTTGGAGATTTGTGAGAGGATTTGAAGAGGAATTCAAGAGATAACACTTGGAGGTAAGATTTTTGAACTCAATGCTCGATTCTTGTGTGAATTCTACCTAATTAATCATGGAATTTAAGCATAGCATTGAAGAACTAGGGCTTGTAATTGGAGACCTAGGATTTGGGATTTAAGGGGTCGTTTGTGGTTGGATTTTGGTACTTTTGATATGTATGAACTCGTGGGAAGATAAGGAACCTATTGATGTAAATTTTATTGGAATCCGAGATGTGGGCCCGGGGGCCGGATTTTAGCAATTTTGAGATTTTTGATGGAAATTGGATATTCTCGAGTGGGCTTTATTCCCTTAGCATATTTTAATGATTATATACTGATTGTGGCTAGATTTGGAGCATCCGGAGGTCGATTTGTGAGGGCAAAGGCCTTGCAGGCTAGAGTTTGGACCGGATCGAGGTGAGTAATGATAGTAAATGATGTCCTAAAGGTATGAAACCCCGAATTACACAACGTTTTCTATATTGAGGTGACGCACATGCTTGATGACGAGTGTGGGGTCATGCACTGTTGGGGATTGTGACTTAGTCCGTCCCAAATGACTATTTTACCGCGTATTTGACTGAAATCTATTTGCTATCATCATGTTTTGGGCGTAATCCCATATTTGGACCTCGTGCCAACTATTTGAATCCTTAGGGGATTTTTATTGATATTTTCTCACTATTTTGACTTTATACTTGAACTCAGTCATGTTATATTCTACTATTTTTCATAACTCAACCATGTTTACTCTGTTTTAACACTTAAATAATCTATTAAATGATACTTTGGGCTGAGAATCATGTTTTACTATTATCCGAGTGGCTTGTGAGGATTTTTGACTAAGTAAGGCCGAGGGCCTATGTTGTGAGGAAACACCGGATTATGATTTTGAGGCCGAGGGCATGAGATTTGTACGCCGCGAGGTAGCTTGTTGATATGAGGCTGAGAGCCTAGTGATGATGCCACGAGATGGCTTGATATTGCGCTTGGGCTGTAAGGGGCCCCTCCAGAAGTCTGCACACCCCCAGTAATCGCGGGTACCCATTGTGATGTGATATATAGCCCGAAAGGGCTGGTATTGTTTCTGAGATATTGCCCGAGAGGCGGATTTGTTGTCACTATGCCCGAGGGGCGATCCTTTATGTGTTTATCTTTCCTAATTGCCTGTCACTTACTTGCTTAACTTGTTAAAAAGACATTTTATGAAGTTTAAACTGAACTTAGTGATTTTACACATCTGTATTGTTTCACTATTTTGCTGGCTTTTACTACTTCCTTATAGCTTGTTATGTGCTTACGTGATTTCATATTTCTCAGTCTTTATTTATGATTATTACTCACTGAGTTGGAGTACTCACATTACTCCCTGCACTCCGTGTGCAGATTCAGGCATTGCAGATCCTGCTTGCGAGAGTTGAGAGCTCCCGACAGATTTCGGAGTTCACGAGGTAGCTGCTCGGTGTCCGCAGCCCAGTGCTTCCCCCCTTTATCTCATTTCATTCTCTTTCAGCGATTCTATAATAGCTTTGTAGACACTTCAGACTTGTATTAAATTGATAGATTCTCATGACTGGTGACACCCCGGTACCAGACTATGTTGAGTTTTATTTCCGCAAACTGTAATGTTCACTACTTATCATTTGGGATTTTATCGTGTTTAAGACTTAACACTTATTGTTTAATTTCTTAAAATTGAAATGGAAAAGTATCGGATGGCCTTGTCTTCATGAGAGACGCCATCACGATCGGGTCCGAGTTTAGGGTCGTGACATAAACATAGCATTATAACATGCAAAGATCCTAAATTTGAATTTCACCGACACCTGTTATTGAAGAAAACTTTTCACATGCTTGGCCAGAAGAAAAATCATTTCCGCTGGTGAGGTGAGTATACAGAACTAATTAGACAAATTAAGCAAATAAAATTGTGGTCTTTACCAAATTGAAATTTAGATGAGATAATCACACACATCAATTTAAGTCTTCCTGAGGCAATTATGATAACATTTATTTGTTTGAAGTACCAAGAGACAAGAGTTGGTTAGACTATAATTTTGTAGTTTTACCAAGTTAAATACTCTCTTATTTGTGTAACTACTTATGTATAGTAAAATCAAATGAAAACTAACATAGAACAGTTTATTGACTAGAAAATAAAAGTGTTACCTGAATAACGTTTTGCCAATCCAAATATCATCTGCACCACCATACTGTTCTATATAAAGCCTAGCTTCCACCCGAGGCAAGCTAGCATACCATGGAAATTCAAGTGCATACCTTATCTATAAATGAATGTTTTACAAGATTTTTGGTAAAATATGCAAGGTAAAACATAAAGAGTATCGCATATTGCAGTTCTTCAAAATGAGTAGTTTATTTCTCATGGATTTAACTTATATGTACTGCATGCGTAAAGAATTTTACTATTAGTGTGTTGTAAGGTATTCTAACAGGTAGTTAATTTCCCATATTTTCCATGTTGCTAATCGCATTTTCTATGGATGATTACATGTAGAACTTAAAATCTTTGCTCATTATTTACCTCCCCGGGGATGTCCTTGGCTATGACCCATTTGTCTAAGCATTGATTGTTTGCTAGACATTGCTGTAAGAAGTTGTAAGTGAAATTCTTTGCCTCTTCAAGTATCTTTTCTCCTGGGAATAATACTTGGGAACATCTATAGAGATTAAACATATGTGATGGTGACCCGTCCACTTCACCTCTTTGGCAAAAGAATTGATCACCATCTTTAAAATTGTTTAGCGCTTCTGTGACAGATAATAAAAAAATAGATTAAGCCACCAGTAAATGCTATTGTATTTGGCAGAGTTCGAATTTTGAGAGTCAAACGAGTTTTTTTGTGACCGTGATTTTTTCATATGCTTTTTAGATATTTTGAATGGTTCATTATTGCGACTTATAGTATTGCGAAATCACTGAGGAACTCATTTTCCATTGACTTGCCTGGACTAACATCATACCCATGTAACCTTAGCAACCTTATAGCCATGCATGTATCATCAACATCAAAAAAGTTTGAATTCCTTCCACAGAAAATTCCATTCTCCTCGTCCCAGTATCTGTAGTTCAACAATAAATAAGACTTGTCACATAAATTGCTCAAAATTGATAATTTCATACTCTTAATAGTGTGAAGCAAATGGAGAAGAATTATATTGCTCCTTGTTTACCTGAACACATGATCCAAAAGTTCCTTGAACTCTTCCGCAAAATAATAAGAGATTCCAAGGCGTTGTAATCGATCAATCGCCCAAAGTCGCGTTACTATGTCGAGTGGGTATTGTCGCGCTAAACATATTGCATGTAAGGATGTAAACGTTATTTAAAACTTGTGGTCTTATCATTCTATTTGTATTGCTTAAACGTTATTTGTGTTGCTTAAAAGCTTGTAATTAGACATAAAATGAAATGCTTTTACATAAATTGAAACAGAAGTAGTACAATTTTTCGAAATTGTTCATGTTATGTAACATTATTGGACAAAGGAATATTCTAGGTACCTCCTCCATTACACTTTTGAACAACGTTTTGAAGATATGCCAAACACGTTTCATCATTTGTTTCCATGAATGCAAAGGCAGTGGAAGCAGGGGATGTTAAGAATGAACCATCAGGCATTTGAAGCTTCAAAAGCCTTTGCCAGTCCAAGTCGTCCCTTAATCCTTCTAATGAAAACAACACTGTTGTCGGAATCGTATGGATAACATCTTTAGGAATTCTACAAAACAAAAATGTATATTATTCACGGAAGGAAGGATCCTCTGACCAATGGGTTCAACAATTAAATCTAATAAATTTTTTTTTACGGAATATAGATATATTTGTGAAAAATCACTATAATTTCAACGGAAAAGGTCCAAATATGCCTTTGTACTATACGAAATTGAGCACATTTGCCCTTCGTTAATACTTTAGCTCATGTATGCCCTTACCCTCACATAGTTGGTCAATATATGCCCTTTTTGAAAGGGAATCCATCCAAACTAATTAGCTCTTTCGTTAATTATACTAAAGTGTATTACAAATATTATTTCCTTTTTATTAGTACCTTTTTTTCTTTACCTTTCTCTTTTCTTTTGTTGTTTTTTCTTCTCTTTTTTTTTTCTTTTTCTTTCTCCCATATTCGAGTTCCTCTATTGCTGATGCCTTCTCCATTTTCTTCACCAATTTCACTTGACAAAACTCATGAATTCCTGCTAATTTTAATATCACAAACCCCACAAGTTCTTCTGACATAAAGGAGATGAAAATTGTCGGAGAAATGTTTTCGGTGGTGTTAATTGGGTGAAGGTAGGATATGGTTATTCGGATTTTAAAGGTCATGTTCCCTTCAGATTTGAAGCTCCACAGTGAACAACACCTTCAAAATTTGAATAACCATATCCCACCTTCACCAAATTAACACCATCGAAATTTCTCCAACAATTTTCATCTCCTTCTTTTCAGAAGAACCAGAGCCTTCTCGCTATGAAGATTTTGGTGGTGTAGGTTTGATTTTTAGGAATAAAATCACGTAAAATTGGTAACGAAAATGGAGAAGGCATCACCAATGGAGGAAATCGGATATGGGAGAAAGAAAAAGGAAAAAAAAGAGAAGAAAAGAAAAAAGAAGAAAGAAAAGAGAACGGTAAAGGAAAAAAAGTACAAATAAAAAGGAAATAGTGTTTGTAATGTACTTTAGTACAATTAAAGAAAGAGCTAATTAGTTTGGGTGGATTCCGTTTCGAAAAGGACATATATGAACCAACTATGTGACTGCTAGGGCATAAATGGACCAACTATGTGATGGTAAGGGCATATATGGGCTAAAGTATTAACGAAGGGTAGTTGTGTTCAATTTCATATAGCACAAGGGCATATTTGGACCTTTACCGTAATTTCAATAAATATTACATTCTGAATCCATAAGAAAAAAGTACAATGACTATGATGCTGAAATCTTATAGATTGGACCGGTAAATTAAAATCTTGGATCCACGTTCGTGCCAATTGAAGTTATTAGGATAACGCTAAGATGAAAAAGGAGTAGTGAATTTACCTTGTAAACTTTACTTCTCTCCTTACATAAATATCCTTTAACACTGGAGCATCATACGGAATGTCAATGCCTAATTGTTTCGCTTTCTCAAGGAGAGCAGGAAACACAAGTTCAAATCCACAAGTCATATGTTCAACTTCCTCCGTCTCTAGCTTCATTAAGTTTTCTTTGATAAAGATCACTCCTAGGAAACAAGAATGGCCCATTGTAAGCATGCAAGTATTGGTTAGATACTAAAAGCTAAGGAGCTTACGAAACTAGTAAAATTTTATAAGTACTCGATATTTTACTAGAATAAACTATTTGGTTTGGTGTAAGTAATTAGAATGTTATTTAGGCTATTCAATCCATTACTATTTTTATAAAGTTGCCGACAAATTAATGCTTATCACGAAAATTTCCCTATAAATACCTGAGCGATTTGATTGTGTAAATGTGTTAGGAGAAAGTGTATGCATATAACTTAAATTCGACGAGAATAACGTAAAAATCATGTTAAATACTGAGTAATATATAGTACTCCTTCTGTTCTAGTTTATTTGAATTTATTTCTTTTAGTCCGTTCCAAAAATAATGAATCCTTTTCAAATTTGAAAATAATTTAACTTGAACTTTCCACTATACCCTTAATAAAAGGCTTTTAGAGCCACACAAACACACAAATTTGATACGTTTAAGATGATAGGTTTCAAAAGAATTATATTCACACAACTATTATGACTTGTTTAGGACTACATGTTTCAAAAGTCTTTTTTTTTTAAACTTCATGCCTAGTAATATAGGTTCACATAAATATAAATTATAACGGAGAGAGTAACATATTTGCACGAAGATGAAGAAATATAAGTTTTAAGTTCACCTTTGTTTCTCTTATGAAGGCATGTGTTCCATAATGTCAATGCAACAACGCATGCTAGTGTGTTCAAGAGTCGATCATATATGCATAATACAATCTCCTCTCCCCATGAACCATCACAAAGTTGATTGTCTATAATCCATTCAAGACAAGATGGAAACATAGGTCTCTGATTATTAGTAGTATTCGGAATAAAGGAAACCCAAGCTGTTTCATAGGCTAAGACACTTGACCTTCCATCCTCCATCGAATTCAACATATGTTTGATCTCTTCTGTCAAACTTTTGATCTGTATTTTTCTGTTTACCTATTCAGACAAACAATTATGCTATGATTTCATTTTAAAATGTCGTATTGTTTTTTTTTTTAAAAGAAATGTACTAGCCTTTTTATCCAAATATATCTTTTTTAAATACTAGTTTAGAATATGCGCTTTGCGCGTGTATCCATATCATTAAATACATAATTTTAAAAATAACATGTAAGTATTATATTTGTTTAAATTATATAAAATAAAAGTTAAAAAAATCCTGAAATGATAATTTTTTCCATGTACCTATCTCAAAAAATGAAGATACTTTTGACCAAAAAAAACGAAGAATCTTAGCGCATAAAAATTCACAATGTCTTATTGTGATTTATGAAGATTGATGGTGAAATATCTTATGAAAATTATTGTTATTAATCTGACCTAATACTAAACACAAAACATAAAAATACCTTTATCATAATTTTTATAGATTTGTCAAATAACAAAACTTAAAAAAAAATGAATCTTTTAGTCTATTATGAATTTGAGAATGAAAAAGGTTGGCGTATATATCCTACACGATTGGTAACGACAATGTAAATTTTTAATAAATGATTTATGTTGAATAAATATTTTAATATGAATAACATAATATAAAAAAGTATACAACCATTGTCCATTTTTACTGAACACAAGAAAAAAAGCAAAATAAACTGACAACTCATTTATAATATATTTTGTCTTCTACTATTTTATCCTTATTTCTTCAAATTTATATTTTTATCACTATAATCGATTCTGCTTTAGTTTTTATTTCTTTCACCGCTAGTGCACTTCTTATAAAAAAAAAGTTTATGTATCTTAAGAGTTTTTCAACTTGTTAAATAATTTTACTTATATGATAAATTTGAAAAAAAATGAATTGAATTCTTTTGCTAATTAATTAATTCAAAGATTTAATTATTTGCTCTCAATATTAAAGAAGTAACGTAGTCTTTTTGTTAATTCAACTCCTTAAGATATTCAACAGTAATTATAACTTTATGTAATAAGAATTCTATTTTTAATAAACAAATCACATGTAAGCTTTGGATCTTTTGTGTTATTAAAAGCATTGTGTTTTTGACTTGTATAACTTAGCTAAATAATAGCAGTTTCTAACGTTTATATAAGAAAATTTATATAAGGAAAAACTCTTATTGATTTTAAAGGCTAAATATTAGGATTTTCTACCTAGTTCAATAAGGAAAAGCTAAATAAACAAAATTGTAGTTGATTTTAAAGTCCTAAAAATTAGGATTGTAATTTAAATTACAATTTTGTCCAATACGAAACATATTTTAAAAGGGTAATTAAAAAGGCGAACGATATTTCGCTAAGGGGCTTCGTGCTTTTAATATAGTATAGATAAATTATTTTCACCCACCAATCACAACATCCGAAAATATTTTTCAAAAATATATTTGCCCCGTAAAATAACACTTCTGTCACCAATTTAAGAGAAGTCATGCTAAGGCAAAATTTTCTTTATCACCTGAATATCCTTTTCTTCGGAGTTGTTTGAGCGATTAGATTCTAAGTACTCAATCACATTACCTGCAAAAAGTGCGTGTAGCTGATTTATCAAAACTTGCTTTGTGGTTGTGAACAATTCCTTAGGCAATTGTTTAATGTATTATATATCTTGCACAGTTGAAATGATCATACCGAGATAACTTGCATCGCTAGGTGCACAATTGAGACGAAGTGGTTTATATAGAAGTGAGCCTTCAGTTTGGAACAACCAATTTCCTGTAAATATATCAAATAAAAATGAAACGGCATAGTAATTAATTAGTTACACTACTATTGAGATAACAAGGGGTAAGTAAATGACAGTCGTGGGCCTCGTAGTACCCGCATACGACAACTGTCACCCACATACATACAACACTTTAGCCCAGTTTATTTATAAAACTGGGCTTGTATCTCCCGCTCAGGAGCGGAGCTATTCTTGTCCAAATTTTTTTCACTGTTGACTCCCCGTGACACAGGTTTGTTCTTGCCTGCGACGAACTATTATATTTTCCACTATAAGCAACACCCCTTAGTAAAAATCTTGACTTCGCCACTGACGCTAATCTATATAATATTATATAGCTCTAAAATTCATATGTTTATAATGGCTCTAAAATTCAAACAGCTTGGTGAGTTGAATTGTTATGATAAAAAATCAGCTACATTTTCTGTACGAAGTGAAACTCAGAGTTTAAATATTAAAATTCAGATATTTTTGTACTTTATTGGCTAAGTGCCTTTGATATACAAAATATATTTGAATTTTAAATTTGGATAGTTGAAAGAGTAAGGTCTGCCAGCTTTATAATGACGTACAAATGTTGAACTTGAAAGGGGGTTCATTTTGAAGTTTTTCTTCAGAAAATTCCTCATCGAAATAGGAGGGAAATGTTAGTAATCATATAAAGGCGAGTTCAAGATTCAACCATCGAAAGTGCGTTTTGGTTAAAGCCTATACATAAAGACAATCAGGAGGCCCCAAAAGTTGAACCAGAGTAAGAAAAATCTTTGGGAGATAATTAGGTCTGGCCCATGCATGATCCGCTGACCATTAAATTCAAAAGGAGGTTTGCTGTGATATATTAATAATTGGTGATCTATAGCATAAGAGACAATAAGGTAAGCTAGTCATTATGAGCAAATGCAGGTTAATAAATTAGTGCTGGACATTGTTTTTGTTTATTTTCAAAAATAAAACTTTTAGGTTGAAAAATTATCGGACAGATGCTACTTCTCAGTAATTGTTCAAGCTAAAATTAAATTTGAAATTTTGAATGAATAACCTAGGTGAAGCGTGATATCTTCATCATAATACCATTTGCGTACTTTATTACTAACTCAAAGACGAAAAGTGCAAAACAAGACAATTTTCTGATTAAAATTAATTAAAAACTAAACTGTTGGAGATTGAGTTTCTTCTCACAAGCGGGCCGAATGAAAGACAAAAGTACAGGACAGAGAACAATTTCGACTCAACATGTTCTGAAATTCTATTACTAAAAGAAATCAACCATTCCATAACAGTGGGAAATATGTTTACATCTAAGTTCCAATCCATCATATGAAATTTTGTACTATGAACTTATTTCTTTTTTGGTCCATTCAAAAAAGAATGACTTCTTTTTAAATTGGAATTTCATAAAACTTAACCTTCCAATTATTCCCTCAGTGAGAAACTTTTGTAGCTACATAAATACTCTAACATATTTAACACCACAAGTTTCAAAAGATTATAGTCATATAAATATTATGGCTTGTTTACGACCACAAATTTTAAAAGTCCTCCTTTATTTCTTTACCGATGTGCCTAATCAAATAGGTTCACATAACTTAGAATGAAGGGATAATTCGCGTAAGGGATCCAAGTTAGTGTAAACTCCATTTCTTTGCAGTGTTAGTAGATATAAGTTAAATCCTGCATAGAAAAAGTAACTTACCGGGTCCATGTTTTTTAAACTCCGCTTGTTGTGCAGACAATGATGTAGGACTCTTAAGTTGATGAAGATGGCAGAAAAGCCTGTGACTTGATGTAATTATGACTTGCATTTTCTAATTTAATTTTTAATCATTTTTCATTCTTCTGAGAGTTGGGGAAGGGAGATAAAGACAATGAACGTTTGAGAGAGGAAAGGGCATTACTGACTTGTGAGGCAATATTGGAAATGGTTTGAGTTGTCGCAGCGTGCAGGCTTATTTATATATTGCGTCTTGATGAAGGGCAAATATTAAATTCTCGACTCTTTAGCCTAATTCCGTATTGATTGTTTTCGAATCTTTGCATGAATTTAATTGTCAAACGCCCTCTATAACTTTTGCTAGATTTTGTGAAAGTAGTAAACTTTAGAACGGCTAATTCTTGTGTTTTTTTATGGACTAATTACGATTAGCCCGTGTTATGCGTGGGCTCAATTGCATAGATAAGGCAATAAAGTTGTACTATCTCATTTTTATTGTCATAGCGGTATAATTAAATTTTCGTTTCAAACTCCCAAAGATATTGTTGGGTCTATTTCAGCTCCTTTAGGTATTAGATGGGCACTACAAATTTAATCCAAATATAATAGATACAAAATAGTATAGATGGAGGACGAGTTTCTCTTCATACATGCCTTTAACGTAAAAGATTAAGCAGAAGATATGGCAGTTCATTCTTCAGGTTTCTTTCTAGTTCTTAGAGTTATTATTAGTATTATATGTAAAAAGAGCTAAATAGGCACATCTATAAGAAAACTCAAAAGAAGTAACATAAGTAGAAGGGTAACAATTGTCCAACAAAAGGTTATGTTGTACGACACGTGAAAATAATATTTAAGCTTATTTGTGTATTTAGTTATTTATATTTTTAATTTCTATAATTAAAATCCTTGCTCTTCCACTGAAATAACATATAGATTTTTACATAAACTATTATGGGTCTTAGTTAATATCGCAAATTAAACATTACATTAGTGTATTTGGTAATCATATTTTCATACCCCAATCAATTAAACAAAACATTAAATATGTGGGACTTATGTTTTCTGGTTTCTCCAATAAAACATTTCTTATTTTATGCGAAACTTTTTATAGAAATATTCTCCTAGTCCTCATAATGAAATGACCACTTAATATATAGTAATGCTAAAAAGGTTATGATTTCAAGTTGTTATGCGGCACTAATCTGCTTTTGCGTGTTAATCATTAATTCTGATAACATTAGCATCGTTATTAACTAGCTAAGGAAGGGCATTACTGTAGCTACCGTGCAAATTTTTATGTGCCTTGATCAAATTACTCATTTCTCGCACAGTAGCTCCCTTGCCTAACTTTGTACCCCTCACGTCCCCACGTGTTCCCATCTCTACTTAACAATTTATGTGTGTAGAATTGCCAGTAATTAGCAACATTTTATTATCATGTTGGTCATGCTATACTCTTGATTTGCTTTGAATGACCAAAGTTTGTGTAAACAAAACAGAGTTTCGAGAATATATGCCAATGCATCGCTTATACAACAGTACATTAAAATATTATAACTAGATATTAAATTTTAAATTGATATAATATACCTTCCAAATTATGTGTTAGAGATGGAAGTGCTTAGAGAACTGTGTCTAATAGGAGGTATATAATTGTTGGACAGGGAGGGTAATGCTTGTTTAACATAAGGCTGCAAATTGAGTGACACGTGCAAAGAAAGATTAAGTGGGTGTCTGTCACAATCCAAAATTCTAATCCGTTGTGATGGCGCCTAATACATTTGCTAGGCAAGCCGGCCATAATAATAAAGTACTATAATAACGAAATTGTAGAAATAACATAAATCAGAAGCCTCAACATAACAAAACATTGCTAATACATGATAAATCCCTAGAAACTGCTTAATACAGAGTCATGAGCTCTAATACGGAAATACAAGTCTGAAATGACCAAGTACAGTACTGTCTGAAGTAAAGATAGCAGTACATAAGAAAATAGAGACGCTAAGACTGCGGTCAAGAATGCAGTTCTACCTCGTCTCTCAGCAATCAACTCCGCTACTAGCCTCGGCTACTGATGATTGGGTCCGACACCTGGATCTGCATAGTTAGGTGTAGAGTGTAGCATTAGTACAAACGGCCCAATAAACTCAGCAAGTATTAATTTGTTACCTCGATGAGGTAAAAGAAGCCAGAATTATAAATGATACTTTCTACAACCTGTACAGTTTTATTGTGATGATCCGATAGGTCGTTTTGACTACTAGCATTTATTTTCGTATTTTGAGACCTCTATTAGCTCCATTTGATATTTTACGATTTACGTGCACAGTCCGAGTCTTTTTTCGAAAAGTTTTTATGCAAAAATTTGAAGAAACTATTATTTTTGGCTTTAAAAATAACTTGAGTTGATTATGGACAATATTTTATGTAAACGGCACCAGATTGGTATTTTGAAGATCCCTGTGGGTCTATATCGTAATTTTGGACTTAGACGTATACGCAAAATTGAATTCGTAGGTCCTTAGGCTGATTTGACTTGTTTTGCCGAAAGCTAGTAATTTAAAGGTTTGAAATTTCCTAGGTGCGACCGTAGGTTGACTTTATGCTATCGGGTTTAGATTTTAATTTTGGGACTTGGTATAGGTCTGTTTTGCTATTCGAAGCTTGTCGGTAAAATTTGGTGCAAAACACAGTTGGTTTGATAAAATTTGGATGCTCGGATGTGATTTTAGAAGTTCTTGAGTTTTCTTTGAATTTTCATGTATTTTGATGATTGAATCGTAGTTCTAGGTGTTATTTTAGTGTTTTGATGGCACGAGCGCGTTTGGTTGATGTTATCACAATTGTGTGCATGTTTTGTTTTGAGCCCGAGGGGCTTGGGTGAGTTTTGGATAGGCTACAAACCATTTCAGACTTAGGAATTGCTATTTTTTCAGAAGTTACTAATAATTGGTGCTTTGTGCTTCGCGATCGCAAAGAGAAAATTAGGACTAGGGCGGATTTACTCTTCGCGAACGCGAGGAATTGATCATGAACGTGAAATGGAAGGGGGGCTTACCCATCACAAACGCGACCAACTTTCCGCGAACGCGAAGCTTTGAGGGAACCTAGGGGAGGCTGGGCGGTTACTCTACGCGAACGTGGGCTGCGGCTCGCGAACGCGAAGGCAATGGGGGAGCTAAGCCTTCGCGAATGAGCAGGGTACATCGCGTACGCGTAGGCCTCATGGAAGCTATTCTTCGCGAATGTGTCAGGTGCTTCGCAAATGCGAAGAGCACCTGGCGCTCAGGTATCGAAACATATATGAAAATTGGGATTTTCACCATTTTCAAGTTTGAGCTCGCCCTAGAAGTGATTTTGAAGAAGCTTTTCATCCTCACTTTATTGGTTAGTTAATCTTAACTTGTTTCATTACATTTCCATAAACACCTATTATTTTTAACCATTAATCTATGATTTTCTATGCTAGAAATTAGGGATATGGGTAGAAATTGAGAATTTTGTAAAATTGAGGTCCCATTCGAAAGTAATGACATAACTCGGATCGATGGTGAATGGGTGATTGAGTTTTGGTCCGAATCTCGAGTTTTGTTCAAGCGGGACCTAACTTTTATTGACTTTTTTCAAAATCATTAAAAATTGAATCTTTTTCACAAGTGGGGTAGTTTCTAAAGCCTATTTTGAATTATTTGAACTATATTTGGTTATATTTGATTGGTTTGGAGGCTAAATCTAAAGGAAAAGCCGCGGTTGTGCCTTGATTTGGTTGCAGAGCGAGGTAAGTGTCATGATTAACCTTGACTTGATGGATTATGACTTGTTGGTCTATTTGCTATGTGTATTATGTATAGGGACGATGTATATGTGAGGTGATGAGTACATATGTGTTGTCATTGGATTAAAGCATGCGGGTGAAAATTATTTCTTGTACTAGGTTGTTTCATTGACTATAATTTTCATGATTAGGATATATTATTACTTTTTTAATTATTCACCTTGTATTTATTGTTAATTTTAAAGATGTTGGAAATTTTGAAAGTTCAGTTTGTTGTCATGGCACTATAATTGAAATTAAATTACTTCCCGCCTTGTATTGTTAACCCGGATTTGTATTGTTGCTTGGAGAGGAAGAGTAAAAGCATGAAGGGTGTTGTCGTGTCTTATTTGCATTTATTATCATCGATTGAGAGGTTATGAGGATTAAGGCACAATGGGTGATGTCATGCATTTGATTGATTATCATCATTTATGATATTATGAGAGGGTAAGAGTAAAAGTACGAAGGGTGATGCCGTGTCATTTTATTTATGATATTACTTTGTGAGGACGAGAGTAAAAACACGAAAGGTGATGCCGTGCCATTTTTATTTCATTGCCTTATTTGACTTTCGGATTGTTGATTTACTTGGATACATTGTTACTTATTTTGGAAAATGTTATTTGGTGATTTTGTACTTGTCGCTCTTATGATATTCTCCCTTCGAATGTCCCTTCAGAGTTAATGTTTTAATTGCCCTACCTGTTATTTCATTTCTCTATGTATATATCTGTACAAGTTTCAAGTAGGTGTCCTATCATAGCC